TCATCACCCTCCAATATTCATGAATATCATTCGGAGGGATCATTACCCCTCCAATATCCAGGTTTTTCATTTTTTTTTGGGGGGGGGGGTAATAAGATCAATATATATATATGTTTTTCTTATCATTTGAAATAGTAAAAAAATTGATGTTGTAAGAAATGTAGTACCAATATCTCCTGAAACTGAAACAAATCATTTATTGTTGGGTTATATAATATTCATGTGTAGGGGTAATCACCCCTCCAATATTCAGTTTGGTTTTTCTCTTTTTAGGGAGGGGGGAGGGTGATAACCCCCTGTCAGTTTGCTACTTCTCCAGAGAAAACCTGAACATTTAAAAAAATAATAATAATAAGATGAAAATATATCTATGTCCCTCCTATCACTTGAAATAGAAAACAAATAAATATCATAAGGAATCAAGTATCAATATCTCCTCATGAACCTGAAACAAATCATTTATTCTGGGTAACAAATATCTCTTTCAAGATAAAATAAGCAAGGTTTTCCACCAAAGGTAAACCTCAAGTATTAATCTTAACCACCTTTGGTAAGAAAAATACCCTTCTGCTGTAAGTTTGAAATTGTACTACAGAGCTGAAATCACAGCTATCTGGTAAGATGATATTATCAGAATAATGAATATTAGTTTACAAATTAAATAAAAAAGTAATGCTTATTAGTTTTTTCAATGATGAAATGTGCAACAATTTGACTATGAGTTTGAGAATTGGGTTTTAATTCTTTATAATATTGTTTGATTCTTTGTTCCCTTGCTGTGATATTCTTTTACTTCCAGAATGGATGAACTTATTCTAGATTATATTGATCATTTTTTTGGTCAATCAATTTGTGTTTTTCAAAAAAAGCAAAAAAATGATCAATATAAATCTGGAGTAAATTCATCCATGATGGAAGTGTAGTTGTCCGAGTGTAGAAAACCAAAGACAAAAGCCAGGGAAGTATCAACAGTCAAGCTTGGTGGCTATGACTTGGGTTCATTTGACGACAGAGACAGGGTCAACATTGTCTATGAGGAACTGAACTTAGCCAGATACCAATTGCTTTTACTTTCTTAGTATGCTCAATCATTTTGAAGCCTAAAAATTGATTTTCTACCATAATTGGTCAATTCTTTGAACACTAGCCAGGGTACAATATCATATTTTTACATTTTATTTTTTTCTTCTTAAAATTATGGTAATTTAGTCATAGTTATCAGCAAAGGGGGTGTGTTGATTTACTGGTACATAGATTTCATATGCTTGTAGTTAGTATATGCTTCTACTAAGACTATCACTTCTATACTGCTACTGGTCTCCTCACTGAAATCTATACTTATTTCTCACTTGTCATCCTCATAGTGAGTATGGTAGTTCTCACTGAGTTTCAGTCACCTGGTTTCCATCAACACTGGCAGTGTGGCTTTGTATCTGTGTCAGCCTGCTACTAAGCAGAGACAGCCTGAAAATAGCACTTATTTATAATTGGAGATATTATTACTTACATATGTACATACAATATAAAGTAATAAAAATATAATATTTAAATAAGTGGAATCACCATAATAGAGATATTATTACACATTACACATATATTGTAATATTGTATGAAAAAAAATATAAAAATAATTAAATAAAAGGGCCTTAATAGAAAAACCCGGTTTTTCCGCGTTTTGACGTGGTTTTGCTGCGCGCAGCACACGAGGTTTCCGTGTTTAGACACGGTTTTTTTAATTAATTTTAATTTTTTTCAAGTTTTTAAAATTTTTTCCTAGGTTAAAAAATGCGTAAAATTTAATGGTGAAGTCCATTTTCCAATAAAATGACTTTTGATTATTAATTTTTTTTGTCTACTTTTTTCAATTAATTGTTTGCATGCATGTTTTTACCTTATTTTCAATGCTTTTTTGAAATTTTAAATTTATTTCCTAGGTTTCAATACATGAAGAATTCAATGATGTAAGCCAAATTTTTTAAAACTCAGCGGTTCTTTTTTAATACTGAAATTTGACATTTTTTTCACGTAAATTTCTACAGCTTAATTTTCATTATTTTTTGGAATTTTAAATTTATTTCCCACACTTTAAGACATGGTTAAAATAATGGTAATAACTGTCAGGCTCGGCAATGCCAAGGCAATAGGCCTTCTAGCTACGTCGGCTGATGGGTGGTTTGGGTAAGCAAATGAGAGAGGAAACTACCAAGGGGCCCAGATCATTGGGAGTTTTTACGGTGCCCTTGGGGATACAAGCCTAGGTATAATATAAAGACTCAGTATGGCTACTACGGGGTCTCGAAGATACTTGAGGGTATTTGGTCCGCGTATCAGAGTGATGGACAGAGGAATAACCCAATAAAGGTATTCCCTAGCAACAAATCCTGGCACTTACAAGGTGGATCTGTGGTGCTCTGAGTAGTGGAATGAGGGTTGGAAAAGGAGGCAAACTGGAAAAGGATGGGGAAAATTACTAAGCTGATAAACTGATGATTTCTAGTTACCTGGTTTACTGGTTCTTTTTATACTGTAGGTACCAATACTGGATGCTGGAAAGGGAAATGGAGTTCACCGGTCATCTCTGAGAATCTGAAATGATGTATAATTTTCCACGAGCTTTGACAGGGGAAATCTGCCCATCTCATGTCACAATCTCCTGTCATGATGTCTTTTAATATGTCACTAGTTTCTGTAAAGTACATTTTATGTCATTCATTTTTGTAATATTATTAGATTATTAAATCTATTACTTATTATCTTGAGTTATTTATGGAACTATTGCAGGTCAGCTTGACTCTGTAATAGTAGCAAGCTGACAATAACCATTTTACATAAAAATCAGAACTTGTTACTGAATACTGTGTTGGACAGGTTTTTTTTAATGTTTTTTTGATTGATTTTTACCGGCTTAATTTTGATCATTTTTTGAAATTTTAAATTCATTTCCTACATTTATAAAAGTGTAGAAGTTAATGGTGAAGTTCAATTTTCCTCAAACTCAAAGCTTCAATTATAATACAAGAGCGTGCACCATATCTTGCATAATTTGTACCGTATACAAACTGTATTTGAATGCAAAATGAATACATCCATAAATTTCAAAACCTTCTAAAATGTAGGAAATAAACTTAAAATTTCAAAAAATAAGGATAATTAAGCGTGTAAGAATTGATTAACAAAACACGTCAAAGGCATTATTCAAGATACAGTTTTTACTTTGATGCAAAGCAATTGTTTCCATCATTGTGAACATGTCTGAAAGTGTAGGAAAAGAATTTAAAATGTCAAAAAATAATGAAAATTAAGCTCATAAAAATCAATTGAAAAATATGACTAATTACAGTATCCAGAATGAACCATTGAGTTTTATGGGAATTGAATGTTACCATTAAATTTTACACACTTTGAAATGTCTGAAACAAATTTAAAATTTCAAAAAAGCATAAAAAATAAGGTACACTCAAGTATGCAAACAATTAAGTGAAAAAGTGATGAATTAATTAAAAAATGTGTCAAATGCAGCATTCAAGGTATATTTTTCATTTTGGGAGAAAATGGTTGTTACCACAATTTTTCACATGTCTCAAAGTGTAGGAAAAAATAATGAAAATTAAGCTGTAGAAATTTAAGTGAAAAAATGTCAAATTT